ATGGCAGCTGCTGGAAGTGGTGGCCGTCCCGCGCCGCTTCCAGCAGCTGCCATTGGCCTGGAGCAGCGAACCGCGGCCACTGGGAGCTGCCATCGGCCGAATCTGCGGACGCGGCAGGTAAACAAACCGGCCTGGCCCGCGAGGGGCTTTCCCTGCACAAGTGGCGGAACAAGTTTGGGAACCACTGCCTTAGACTCTTCACAGGCATTTGAAACTTGATGCAGTGGGATACTGGATAGCCAGTGGAAGGATCCCCTTTTAAAATTTTTCCCATGCAGAACTTTAATCCCCAAGTTTAGTCAGAGAATCTTGGTTGTATCTCTCATCCAAAAGACATAAAAGTCTTTCCCATCCTTTGCTTACAATATTTACCCAACCCTTCTAACAATCCGGTCATATAACGTGAGAGGGAAATTTCTTTAAAGGTATCAGTTGAAACCTGGTGTTCAGCTCTGGTGCCAACATCGAGTGGATCTCTAACCTAATTCGTGGGCAAGAGGAAAGTTAAAGAGCATTGTATCTTTATTAATAATTCTGACAATTTCTCCTAATTCAGAGTGTACGAGAGACTATATACCTGCAAAACTAATATACAATATAGGAATAAATGGTCAATGAGAAATATTTAGCTTTCAGCCATGCACAAAAGAAGAGGTGAGAGTCTCTTAAATAGCATAACGCTGAAAACAGTGACTTGGGAGAAACCAAATCCGCCTTTGCTCATGTCAATGGTTAATTGAACAGGCAGTTCCGCATTCTTCTTCAGACAGGAGAAATGTGATTTGCACACTCCAAGAAAAGTTCAAAAAGCTCACCTTGTTTTCGAAGATTATTTCAATGAATATCAACAGCACCTCAGTGATGAAGATCACCAGAAGAACCCAGAAAAACTGCATAGAAAAGAGAAAGTAGGCCATTACTACCGTTCTAGCCAAAGATGTATTCACTCTGACTCATTATAATTGTCATAAGACATGAACAAAAAGGTGTTATTACTTGCCTCAAATTCTTGTTTGAAGAAATATTAGGGGGTTATAACAGTAATATATATGCAGATATTTATCATGAAGGGCCATAAAGTGCACCACATACAAGGTATATATTAAGGATCGCCTCACACCACTGAAATGCAGGAGCTGCAAAGAGACTTTAGGCAAGGCTACACTACACAATTAAGCTGACTTAAGTTACATTGATGTACAGCTACTGCAGTAATTGACTTGCTTTTGCATGTCCACACTACGCTTCTTGTGTCAGCAGTGCATGTCCTCACCAGGAACACTTGTGCCAATTTAACTGCCAGCATGGGGCATTGTGGGATAGCGTCTGAAAGGCAGTGTAGAGGGGTGGACTCACCCCTGCGGCACCTCCTGCTGGTCTCTTCTGGGAATTAGCTCTTCCAGCATCCTGGAGCGCTCTGGCCCCTGTGCCCCTCCCGGACCCCGGTGCCCTTGTTTCTGGGGTGCTGCCCTCTGGTAGTACACCCCTCAGTATTAGGGTCTCCCCTCCCTGAGGAACCCCCACCCACTATCCCTACCTCACCTCAGAATAAGGCCACTACCAGTCACCAACTAGCCCCTGCTCCCTGGGGCAGACTGCAGTATAGGCCACTCATCACAGGCAAGGTTGGGTTTGGACCTGCTGTGTTGGCCTACCCATGGGCTGCCCTCTGCAACCCCCAGTACCCCTTAGCCTCCTACTAGGCCGCAGCCTGGGGCTATCCAGGCTGGAGCTCCCCAGCTCCTCAGCCTTTCCCCAGCCCTGCTCCACTCAGGTACCCTACCTCTAGATCCCTGCAGCCAGGCCCTTCTCTCCCTCAAGGCAGAGAGAGACTGTGTCTTTGCTCCTGGCTCCCAGCCTTTATAGGGCCAGCTGGGCCTGATTAGGGTGTGGCCCAGCTGCAGCTACTTCCCCAGTCAGCCCAGTAGCTTTTCCCTTTGCCCCAGCGCTCTGCCAGGGCTGTTTTAAACCCCTCAGGGCAGGAGCGGGTGTCCACCCTGCTATAGGCAGCAACAGTTGATGTAAGCAATGCAGCTTCTACACTGATGCTGCGTCACCCTTACTACATCAACTTAAGCACCACGTGGAGATGGAGTTATTAAGGTGAGTCACACTGGTGGGAGCTATATTTTAACATAGATGCTAACAGAGTTAGGTCGATGTAAGCTGCCTTAAGTTGACCTAACTCTGTTAGGCCTCGTCTACACTGGGGGAAGGGGGGAAATCGATCTAAGTTACACGACTTCAGCTATGTGAATAACGTAGCTGAAGTCAACGTACTTAGATTGACTTACCTCAGTGAAGACACTGCGGTAAGTCGACGGCTGACGCTCTCCTGTCAACTCCGCCTGCATCTCTCGCCCTGGTGGGGTACCGGAGTTGACGGGAGAGCGCTTGTGTAGGACTGATAAATGAAATTGTTTTTAATTGTTCACTTTATTAATGTAACTTCATAAATAAAGTTTTATGAACGAAACAATATTCATTCATAAAACCGGTTACCCCAATAACTGGCTAATTAACAGTTAAGATGCTTGTTAAGAGCCATAGCTGTTCAGTCAGCTGCCTTTGTAAGTTTCACTATCAATCCAATTCCTGCTTAAATCACTGAGACTTGCACTGTTTCAGGATTGTAATTTCTGTTCACCATTTATTACACTTGCCTACAATGTAACTTCTGTTCACTGTTTGCCATCCATTATACTTGTCTATATTGTAACTTCTGTTCACTGTTTGCCATATTGTAATTCAAACCCCATTTTAAAACGCTTACTCCATTTTGTAAGGGCTTGCTGCAACCTTCATTTTTGCAAACCCTGCTGTAATCTTATTAGTTTAGTTTAGATGTGTGAATGAGGTATGTATGGATGATGGAATCAACCTCCAGCCCCAGCCTGTCCTGATTAAATACAGTTCAAACACCAACGGCTGAAGATGCAGACAAGAGCCCTAACAAAGTAAGAAGAATCCACCCTAAAAAGAAAAGGTACAATAGAAGGAAGATCAAGGCTGAAAGTCATGTCTGCAATTGACGGGTGATCAATCACCAAACCCAGAGGCAGCCTGACACAGCAAGACCTATAGACTCTGGATTCAAACTAAAGCCTACAAAAAGGATGGGTGACATGAAAAACTTTGGAGGAGGGTAACATTCTGCTGCCAACAAGGAAGGGTATCGGTGCATGCCCAACAGAGACCCAGCTCATCCTTATGCCCGGCTTTCCTGGCCAGTTAGCCGCCACAAGCTACGAACCCAAGCTGCAAACTCAAGCCACAGACTCAAGCAGGACTGGTAACTATGCAGCAGCTGCAGAACATCTGATGAATGTGTGTGTGTGTGTGTGTGTGTAAATGTGTGTGTGTGTATAGGTATTAGGTATAATGTGTGTGTATAAGGATTAAGATATTAGTTATTGGTCATAAATCAAATTATCATAATAAATGTGGCATCTTTATCTTGTCCCCTTTAATAAGATCCTGCTAGTTTTTATTGGTATAACACTTGGCGGTCGATTTATCGCGTCTAGACTAGATGCAATAAATCGACTCCTGCTGGATTGATCGCTGCCCGTCGATCCAGCGGGTAATGTAGATAAGCCCTTAGGGTAGACCAGGCTCTTGTAATAGTTGGAAAGGAAAGATCTCCAGTCCAACTGGGAGTACAGGAATGGTTTTAGGGAAGCAAAATATAAGGACTCAGTTGGATTCTAGCTGGGGCTCTAGCATTAACACTCCTACTTTTACAAAATCTGCCATGAGGAGACAAACAGCTACTAGCCGTCAGTTAGAGCAATTCTCCCAAAGTGCTAATCAGCGTAGCATCTAGGTGCTGTATAGATCAGCATAGAAACACACAGGTAAGAAGCCAGAAGACCGAGGAGATGAGAATTGGTCGGAGGATTGGTCACAATTTTTATACCCACGTATTCATGACATTTTATTAACCATAACTCCACGGCGGCAGCAGTGCTTATCATTCATCTGTTTATAATATCCTCATTATGCCTCTGCTTTTACTGTTTATCTTTCACATATGTCTGAGTCAATATTATTGCTCCTCATCATAATAGATTTAATGTAATGAAACACTCACGAGAGTGATTTACTCCTGGCTTCTCCTCACAGTATACCAGCGATTTAATCATCAATTTGCTTCATTGTCACTGCAGGTGATCAGGGCCTCCTAGGATGCGGTTTCTCATTGTGTGAGTGGGGATGTTTAAATACGTCATGCCTCAACATTCCATCCCCCACACAAATTCCTTTGGTTTCCATCAGGAAGGCCCAATCCCACACTAGCTCAATGGAAATGTTGCCACCGATTTCGATGCGAGTGGGAGCAGGCCCTAACTTCATTGCTGTCTGCATTGAAATATATAGTTTCCAATGAGCCCAGATGTTGCAAGGATTTATGCTCATATGTCCTAATTCTGTGTTTCTCAACCTTTTCGGGTTGGCAACCATGTATTCAAAGTCAAAAATGTTCACGATTCCCCATTTATATTTACTGTAAGACTAAAACAATGCAACAATGATAAGTCTATGCAATGTCATGGTATGTGTTTTGAGAGGCTGACAGAGAATATCTGACTTTGAGGTGAAGGTGTTTGGGGAGTGGATGATTACAATCTAAAGCAAAGAAAATCTAAAACTGTTAAGACTTGCAACCCCACTGATTGCCTTTCATGACCCCACTGGGGGTCACAACCCAGTTGTTGAGAAACAATATTGCCATAATTGACAGCTGCTTTCTGAGAGAGAAAATGCTCCGTGCCACCTCAGAGCCCTGGCCCTCCCCATCCAGTGGCCCATCTCCAGCCATCTCTGATGCTTCAGAGGAAGGAGAACCAAAAAAAAAAAAAAAACCCCAAGAACCGCCGAGTCCTGCCCCCATACAATACCACTCATAAATTAGTCCAGCTCTCTCTCATGCTACTATGCACCCAGCTATACTCAATGGTAGTAGGAATACCTGATGCTCCAAGTGCTTTTCATTCACAGATCTCAAAGCATTTTACTCCCAACTTTGTAGCTCAGGTCCATGCTTATCAAAAAAACCACCCACTGATCAACTCTGACTCCCTATAAGAATGGAAGGATGCCCTCTGCACATTTTACAGTGTAGAAACATATCCACATGCTCGCTCTCTCTTACTAGACTCTGATATAATCCACTGGAAATGAAAGAGTTACCATAGTAACTAACTACCCCATCAGATGTTGTTTTTAAAATATAGCACAACTTTATAAAGGCAATTTACTTACCCAGTCATTAAATTTGTTCCTTGTGTCGTTAAAATGTGCATTTACAAAGCACCTTCCAAGGCAAGTATCCAAGGGAGTTGTACGGAAAGAAATCATTTACCAAACTCAATGAGTCCAGTCAAAAGGCTTAAGGAAGTGGTGACAACTTAATAGCATGGTTACAATGAAATAACATGCAGGTTCACAGTAACTCCACTGGAAACAGGAGTGATTATTTTTTAAACTGATAGCTATCAGGAGCAAAGCTTCGATTAACAATTAACTGTTAGGGTTTGTTTACATGGGGACATCCAGGAAAGATAATCCAAACTAATTAAAAGCGTGAATTTGAAGTGGGTTAGCTGCATTCAGCTCCCTCATTCAGAATTAACCTGATTTTGTCCACGTGGGAAGTGAATTAAGATAAACCAGACTAAAGTCACTTTAATTCCAAATGAGGGTGTTTACACAGGGGCTGAATTCAGTTTAACCAATACACTTCAAATTCATACCTTTAATTAATTTGGATTAACCTTCCTAGATGTCCCCGTGTCAACAAGCCCCCCTAGGCCATGTCTACATCACAATAAAACACCTGCAGCTGACCCATGTCAGTTGATCTGGGCTCACATGGCTTGGGTTGCGG